AGTTACTTGTAGTTATCCATATATTCCTGACACACGTGTTGATGTAGCTTCTTATCTAATAAAAAACAACATAGCTATTAAAAAAGATAAAAGGTGCTGCCAAAAAAAAAAACGAATTGTAACAGAAAGATGTGAAATCAAATCTTGCCGCCAAAATGAGAAAATATTGATGAGTTAAATTTTACTAAAACTATTGTGACTAAGAATTCAAAATTTATGCTTAGCTTCGCACCGACAAAAAACAACGAACGCCCATGTGATTTCTTGTAGTAGATATGTATATTCTACTAATTTTGTAAAACTTTGAATGCTTAGTCACAATATGTTGCATAAAATCTTAATAAACAAAATTTTCTCATTCTGGCTGGCCGAAAATTTTGATTTTACAATCTTCTGTTACAATTCTTTTTCTTTCCTTTTTTTTCTTTTTTTTACAGCTATACAGTTTTTGGTTGAATATCAATCGTATTTTCTGTTATATATCAAATTAAAAATAACCACAAAGGACATAAATCTGATACTCAGATATAGTTTGGAATAATTAGCATCAAGCACCTATTAACTTTGGATACATTATAATTGGATGTGGGTTTTATCAATACTTCAGTAACTTTGAGTTCATATCTTTCAGTTGCTTTATTTTTGTCCACACTTTTTCAACCAAGTTGTTTTTCAATAGATATCATGTTCTCTGTATAGTTTTATATAGTAGTTAAAGTGACATTGAATAATATGCTAGCTATACGCCAGAAACGAGTTCCGGGAAGTGTTTCTATTAGTTTGAAGTCTGATGCAAAAATCGTGTGAAAATATTTACAAGATGGTGATTTTGAGCTCATAACTTCCGGCTTTCGCGTCCGTCCAATTGTTATAACATTAACAACTGTCCACTTTTAACAACTTCCGGCTTTCGCGTCCGTCCGATTGTTATAACATTAACAACTATCCACTTTTAACAACTTCCGGCTTTCGAGTCCGTCCGATTGTTATAACATTAACAACTGTCCACTTTTAACAACTTCCGGCTTTCGCGTCCGTCCGATTGTTATAACATTAACAACTGTCCACTTTTAACAACACCCTAATGCACGGTAGAAATTTTTGCGCGATCGAATTAGCCAATTTTTCTCCAGACGAACGCAAACATGTACGAGATTTTAGCATATGTTTTGCTTATTTTGACCAATATCTCCGAGAATACTTGAGCTACTACAATTAAATTTGCTGTCAAGGCAGGGAAACATATCTACCAGCTATGTATTCAATTTGAAATAAATCGATTAAAGGGAAGTTTATCTGTTTTTTTTTTCATTGGTGCGAAAAAGAAAAATAATTTCAGGCTAAGTTAAGCCTGCTATAAATCGATAAGGGATAGAGCGATTTTTTCGAAATTTGGTATATAATATAAGGAGACCATATAATGGGGGAGTTTTGATTAACGGGGCGATTATACGGATGGTTGATAAACCCCATTTTTCATTACTGTTACTAACACACTGGGTGTCGTGGGGTTTTGTTTTTATTTGGCTGCACGACACTCTACCGTGTGTCGTGTTACTTATCAATACCACAAGCGTCGTAATGCGTGTGTTATCAATAAGCTACATACATAATAAAACTAATCCAGTAATTAATATATATAATTTAGTATAACACTCTGTTTAGGAGTGTGAATCTATAAACACTAAACAACTACTTATGATTCTAATGACCCATGGGTGAAAGCAAAGGAGGATGTGCTATAATGTGACAACCACACTACATCCACCATAATGATCAGTTAGTATTGCTTTATCGCTTTGAACTATTGTCAATGATATTCCACTTGACTCAAGAGATTTAGGGTAGTACTACATCCATTACTGTAACATATGTTGGTGTAGTTACTTGTAGTCATACTCCTGACATTGGTTGATGTATTTTAAAATATGCATTAAAATTTATTTGGCGTGTGTATTTTAAGAGATTAATATAAAACAACTTTGAAAATTGAAACCCCGTACAAGCATAAGATTCGAACCTTATATTTCGTTCATTTCAAGATGTATATTTTAAAATAATAAGTACTACTTAGCTATGGCGACATCAGTGTTGTATTACCCTTTGTGAAACACCATTGTGTATTTGAATTTTTACAATATTCGTGATAGTTGGAACAGCGTCCTCTATATCGGTTTAAATGTCGTAGTATCTATTAATATTATTATTAACATAAACCCTTTTGTTCTCCATCTTTTTTTACTTCAGTTATTTTGTTAAAAGTGTATTTGTTTCGATCATTTACATTTTTATTAAATCCATTCCGTCTCTGTTTTACTAACATATTAATTTGGCTTAGTGAGATTCTACTAACTAAGCATATAAGTAACACAAGACACTAAGTAATAATTATTCACCTTTAAAAAATAACAACAACAACAACAAAAATTCAACATTCAACTGCTTGGCATCCGTAGACAAAGTCCATTCAGGATACAAAGTGATAGCCCCCATTGGCTCAGCGGTAAGCTTAAGAGGTTATAACTCTAAAAATTGGGGTTCGATTCAAATACACCTGCTAAAAAAAGCGAAATCATTCGTAATACGAAATGGGAAACATTACTATATGATACCACAATAAGATCATTTTAGGTTAATTTGAGCAAGCACTCATATTGTTAGAGCGGTATTTTGTAAATGACTTCAGGATGACATTTGGTGACCTCTAAATTTCATTGACACGAATCTTAATATCTATTTTTAACTTTTGCCACTTATTAGTTTTAAAATAACGTCTTTATTTTGACAATTTTTTAAAAATTGACTCCGAAATAACTTTTTATGACCTTTACTTCGGGTCAGAATTATACAACTATCATTTTCGCAAACTATAGTTAAATACTTTCAATGATAAATAGGTTTGGTTTTGTTACACAGTTGGTATAGCAATATCCGCCCCGTATGTGGTATTCATTCGTTGTCTGTTTTATTTCTGTAATTTCCCGAAAGAAGCGTAGCGTGAATCTCCAGATAACTTTCGGCAAAGCGGCCAGTGTTCTCTGTTTCTTATTCGTGCTTTCAGATTTCATTGGCTCATGTCCTTATTGCTTCATAATGGAGAACGCGAAATGACTAAAAACTTGTTGAAAACGCAAAACTATAGTGTTTCTCATCATCGTTCGCACGCGCCATTTGGAAGGTAACGCGACGCCATCGATTGTCTGTAAAACTGGTAGTTTCTAATTATTGCCAGCAACCGTTTCTGAATAAATGTATTTCTGCCATTAAGAAGCTATTTCTATATATATATTTATATCAGCCAAGAATCTGTTGTACATCCCAACGTTTGATCAGTATTCTGATTTTTTTACCTGAAAGTTTGAAACAAGAACCGTTATTTTGAGAGTTTGTTTTTTATCTGAAATATCTGATTTTTTATTTTACCAAGGTATCTCATGAACCTTGTTCCTCTTGACAGTAGCAGCTGGTTACGCATACACATCGAACTATGTTTAAAAGTGTTATATTTTCTTAGGGTTTTTATATTTTATATAGATTTTTAAAAAAGAATAAATGTTCTATATTGTTTTTGTCTATAGTCTAGTTTTACTCACCTACCAATTCCTTAACGTCTATTAAACTTATCTTTCTTAAGTTATGATACCTGCGGTAATTGGTTAACTGGGTCAACTACCTGTTATATTTTAGTACGTTTTTCGATACATATGTCGTTGTTTTTCCTAAATTAATAACTGTTCTATATCACACCTATTTCAAAATAACCCTAAAAACTGGAGTGAACCTAGAATGGCAGCATTAGTTACTGTAAAACATTTCTCTATAACATAAATTAAAATAATAACCATAATTATTAATTCATTAAGAAAATATTAACCATAATTATTGATTCATTGATAAAATATTAACCATAATTATTATTTCATTAATAAGATATTAACCACAATTATTAATTCATTGATAAAATATTAACCATAATTATTAATTCATTAATAAAATATTAATCATAATTATTAATTCACTGATAAAATGTTAACCATAATTATTAATTCATTAATAAAATATTAACCATAATTATTAATTCATTAATTCTATATTTTAACCGATACATTTATGCAATAAACTAAAAATAAGAGCCGAACACGACCCAGTGGTTGGTGCTCGTCACCGCTGGAAAAAAGTTAAAATTGCCCTCCGCACTTTGAGGCCGTTGATGCGTTATAAAAGTGACGATCAAATCCCATTATTCGATTAGAGTAGCCCACGGGCTGGCGGTGAGTGGTGTTAACTAGTTGCTTTCCCTCTAGTCTGTTTCTTCAAAATGAAACCGGTAAGTGCAGATAGTCCCGAAGTAAGTTTTTGCGAAATTCAACAAAAATGCAGTAAAAATAAAACATTTAAACTATTTCAACTGAGGCTTAAAAATTACCTGGCAATTACATTGGTAGCCGTCTTTATCACATCCTCTACAGTACGCGTTGGACGGGACGTTGTTTTGGACTTGGTGTCACCTAAGTAACTATACTTTGGATTTCAACCAGCTATACACGTCATCCTGAGCTTATTTTTAGCGAAAATAAATAGAAATACCGAATTTCAGCAAGCAAGACCGCCAATAATATTATATTTTATAAATATTTCAAACACAGTTGAAATAGATACAGTGTGCACCAAGTGCTCGATGATATATATTTATATAGATTATTTGACACTTTTTTACGCCCATCTTTAACATGAAATTATTGTCTTTTTTTTAGGTGTTAACTATGCTAAACTCCAGTGTACCTACCAGTGCACAGTCCCACACATCTGTCAACACTGCAGATTATCCATCTAATCCACAGTCCTTACCTCTTCGTCCGGGATCTGTGGGAGCCGGATCAGCTTCGGCGGCCGGTGGAATTTCTTCGGAAGAAACAACCAACGCTTGGAATAGCAGCGCCGCCTCTGCTGCCGCTTTGCATAGCCGCGTCCCAGTCGCCATGAACGGATGGGGTCCACACACCCACACGGCTCCTGGTGCTGAATGCCTCGGCCCCAACAACGCCGAACCCTCCTTTGGCGGGGGAATGCTAACCCACGGTGGTGAACATTTCATATCGCCAGCTTTCAACGGAATGGCTCATTACCATGCAAACATGGACCTCAAACACCCTTTCTACTACACTGGTCAATTCACTACAGGCATTCGAGGACTGGCAATGTGACACGATATTTAACTTTGTTGTCAGTTCAAGAACTTAGTTGAGCAAATAAAAACTCTCATCCTTTTATACTGCTTAGTTTTACAGCTAAGAAACGTTCATAGCCCTGGTCAATTCACTACAGGCATTCGAGGACTGGCAATGTGACACGATATTTAACTTTGTTGTCAGTTCAAGAACTTAGTTGAGCAAATAAAAACTCTCATCCTTTTATACTGCTTAGTTTTACAGCTAAGAAACGTTCATAGCCCACCTCGTATTCAAAAACCGAAGTTCATGTTTCTGTTCTTTTCAGTACAATTTCACCATTGAAGGTATAAATAAAGGAACAGAACGTGAACTTGGATCGTTATAATCCTTTGTAAATTTGATGTCAGAGTTTGTTCTTGGTTATTTTTTAGAGCAAAGCCACGATAAGCTATCTGCTGTGTCCACCACGGGAAATCTAACCCCGCATTCTAGCGTAAATTTACCGCTGCCGACGTACCAGAGTTTGTTAAAAACAATTAAGGGTTTGGGAGAATACAACACTGGTATTTAAACGATTATATTGTGAGTATATGTACAAAAACAACAAGTTCACGACACAATGCTCAGTGCCACAATGAAAATATTGTTGTCTTGTGATTTTTCAGAATTCCCGAATATTTGCTAAGTTATGCTATTTTTTGGTACTTAGTGGCAATAATCGGTTCAATGTTTTTTAAAGTTATATGAATAAATAGACACTTCAACTTCTCAAGATTGAAATTTGTCTATAAAAATACACACACATATATATATATATAGTATTAAGAACTAATCAACTTTCATCTAATTCTTAACACCGTTTACAACAGCTGTTAGGTGTAATTTACTATTTCTATTGTTATTCAGAAAAAGACAGTAAATAAGCAATAAATAGTTTATATTCAAATTGATATTATTTGGTTCAATAAACACTAAAATACCACAAATTTACAATAAACAGAATACTTTAGCCAATGCGCAAACGTAAGTGATGCCATATGTACTAGACCTTTGTCTGATTTTCACGGCTTATTCAATATATATCAATGCGCAAACATAAGTGATGCCATATGTACTGGGCCTTTGTCTGATTTTCACGAATTATTCAATATTTAACCTTATACCGTCCATTTTATAAATTTTACTGTCGCTGCCTAATAACAAGGTATTTTACAAAGGTGGTAATGAGACAATTATATTTTTACAAATGAAATATAATGCACTTGTGATTTTCACTTTATATTATTAGTATATAATCTGAAATTTACCGCAAAGTTGAACTAACCGACTAATAAAAATAATATTTAAATATCATTTTTTTTATTTCAAACCAATAAAATTCATGTAAAATGATAGGTATCTAGAAAATTTAGATCATTTTCTTAGGAAACGACGTTTTGGGATGAAATTTATATTGGTATATGATTTTTAATGATTGCTTTGATTATATGAGGGCGTTTTGAGTGAATAGTTTTTATAGAATTGGTAATTCCAACTTCGTTTTGTCAATTTGTTAACAGTTATGAGGGCGTTTTGAGTGAATAGTTTTTATAGAGTTGGTAATTCCAACTTCGTTTTGCCAATATTTGTTAACAGTCGATTATTGGAAATTTACAGTACACTTAAAAAAAGAACATATGGACTTAACCTAAGATTATAAAAGTGAAACAAATCTTGGTATGAAACGTTCGACTAGTTTTATAAATCAATATGAATTAATCAGATGTGCATGAAACTTCATCTTTATTAACATTAATTTCGCCTATTTACTCAAACTGAAAAGCATGTATGGTTTGAGGTTTAATATGACCATGCTAATGATGTAACACAGTATTATTCTATGATGATGTTTTTAAACCGACATACATTTGAAAGTATGTTTTATATTAATTCGTTCGAAAATAATAATAACTGTGTTACACATGATAGTATGTCATATATTGTTGTTGGTTTTGATAGTTTGACAATCGTTGTGATATTAGAATGGAAAAAATCCTGAAAATTTAAATATTAACATAGTAAGTTTGCGTCAAATGTTTCTTTAGATTAAACATTATTAATTATACATTCACTCAGTTTTCGGTTCTCGTTCTGAACTGTAAATTGAAATTACTTGTTTCATTCATAATGTTTTACTGTAACCTCAAAACACATACTTTGTTTTGTACTGTACCCATGGCATTGTTATAGATTTTTCACTGAAGTAATAAAATGTTTTCAAATAAAAACATTAACGTTAAGTTGATTTTATGTTTTGACTATAAACTTAAAACGGAATTGAGCAACACCCGCTACATCACAGTTGACTATTACCAAACCGTTCATTTCTCGTATGGCAAATTATATAGTTATTAGGGTTAATAAAGATCACAACATTTTATATTGCTATTTGTAGGTAATAATACGATTAATTTAAACTTTTTTTTAAAAGACTTGTAATAATAAACTAGACAGATAGTTTTCTATTTCTGGGGTACAATAATACTATAAACATAAAATAAAAGAAATAAGGTATTGTTTCAGTTAGATACCAAATTCCAACCATCTCATCAATCGAATATTTCCATATATACCGTTGAGAAGGACGCGATTTCACTTCGTATACTCTCATTTTTCACTTTCATAAAATGTCTAGTAGATGTATTACTGCTGAGACTTCATTTTCACTTGCAACATTCTTCACGTGAATGTTTTAGGTTTGTACGTTAATTGGCGACTGTGCTTACTTTAAACATATTGTCACACTCTAAAATTCTTCACGTGAATGTTTTAGGTTTGTACGTTAATTGGCGACTGTGCTTACTTTAAACACATTGTCACAGTCTAACATTCTTCACCTCACAATCATGTGAGTATTTATGTTTTTAGTTGTACTTACTTTAAGACATTTTGCATAATATTCAGTGATATAGAACCACTGTTTGTTTTACAAATGTAATGGAGCAGAAAATTGAATTTCACAAATCTAATTCTTATTGTGTAAGCTTACAAAAAATCAAGTTTGATTTTGCGGAAATCTAATGCAAAATAAACTATTGAAATTGATGTATATATTAAGAGATGATAGTTATTATTAAATAAAACATAATTTACTATTTGAAGTTAGACTTTCTTACGTAAAACTTTAAAGGCACTCAGATTTAACTCGTAAATATCGTACATATATAACCTTGGTGGATGAAACACCATGAACTGTTAACATGGGTGTCACATATATAACCTTGGTGGATGAAACACCATGAACTGTTAACATGGGTGTCGAGCAAAGGGACACTTCTCCCATAATTTTGGAGCTAATAGGCCCAAACGTTGGGTCGATCTGGGGGTGACTTAGGGTTTTCTTTACATATAAACGTGTTTACAGTACAATCAGTCACAACTTAAAAATTAGGGTTAAAGAAGCTGGTAAAAGTACATCTTACTTATAAACAGTCTTCAGGATTAATGATAATTCGAACGAATGCGGTCAGTAAATAGCATGCCAGATTGTGGATGAGATATACGTGGCTCGCATCTTGTTACAGCTAAAACATATAACCTTGCTCCGAATTTTGAGGCCGTGGGTGCGTTAAAAGATTGACTAGCAAATTCTCCTTCTTGATCTGACAAGATTTGGTAATGGACGATGTTGACTATCTAGTTTCCTTCTAATCTACCACTTCAAAAATTTGCAACCAAACAAACGAACAAAAAGTCATTAATAATCATTATAGTTGAAGCCCTCTCTCTGAGGACTCCACTACTATCTTACAGTTTATTTTCTTTTTTCATGAGATGCAGGAGAGACCTCAAAACGTCTGCTCGAAATCAAGAAAAAACGGCAGAGTCCATGAACAACTCAGGTTAGGTTTAACACACCTCCTATTATCCTAGTAACTGTTATTATTAACTCCACATAGCTGTGGTTAGTTTAACCCACGTTCACTTGTGGTGCTTTGACTAACGTCAGGTTATGGCCATACTCCACAAAATTATGGTAACTGAATCACGACGATTTACTTACTGGCCTAATTAACGTCACTTTCTAGTTCTTCTTAACGAGTTTGAGATTACTGTGAAACACGCGGATTTGTAATTAAATCTATATATATACGTTTTTAGACGGTTTAGCTACTGTAATTAACATAAATTTGAAATGAGTTGATCTGTGGTTACATCTTTGAAGTTTTAACTACTGAAAATATTACCACATTGTGGTTCAGCGAAGTGACTGCAGCTTATGTTAAACACGTTGACCTGCGTTTAAGCTCTCAGGAAGTGCAGCTATTGCTAATAACGTCAACTGTGGTTATATTCCACAAATCTATGGTTACTAGAATTATAATGGCCTTTGGGACGCTTGTTACATGCTTTCATGGTGTAATTATTATAATAAAAATCAGTTTATAGTTGTATTATTTGTATTTGTGATAAGTGTAATCACGTTACTACAAGTTATATTCCACAAATCTATGGTTACTAGAATTATAATGGCCTTTGGGACGCTTGTTACATGCTTTCCTGGTGTAATTATTATAATAAAAATCAGTTTATGGTTGTATTATTCATATTTGTGATTAGTGTAATCACGTTACTACAAGTTATATTCCACAAATCTATGGTTACTAGAATTATAATGGCCTTTGGGACGCTTGTTACATGCTTTCATGGTGTAATTATTATAATAAAAATCAGTTTATAGTTGTATTATTTGTATTTGTGATTAGTGTAATCACGTCACTTGTAGTAACGTTCTTTAATTATGGACTTACTTTCATGGTTACTATAAGTCTCGTAGGTTTGTGAATAAAGGTTTTGTTACTTTAACTAACGTCATTTTATAACCATCCCGATCTTTATGTTTGCTTCAAATTTCAGCTATTAAAATCAATGTGTGTTTTCAATATGCTTCATGAATGTATGGCTACTTTAAACCAATGGATTTGTTGTTTTGAAATATCAGTTACTTATTCATATATTTATAGAGAGAGATACTCGAAATTTAACGGGTTTTG